TTCGGATAGGTCTGCCTTTGTATGTTACTTGGCCTTTTTCTTTAGCTGCTCTTAATATTTTCTCTTTGCTCTGTAGGTTTGATGTTTTGATTATTATATGGCGAGGTGACTTCTTTTTCTGGTCAAGCCTATTTGGTGTTCTGTAAGATTCTTGTACTTTCATAGGCATATCTTTCTTTAGGTTAGGGAAGTTTTCTTCTATGATTTTGTTGAATATGTTTTCTGTACCTTTAAGTTGAAGTTCTTCACCTTCTTCTATACCTATTATTCTCAGGTTTGGCTTCTTCACGGTGTCCCATATTTCCTGGATATTTTGTGTTAAGGATTTGTTGGTTTTGAGATTTTCTTTGGTTGATGATGCTATGTCCTCTAATGAGTCTTCAACACCTGAGATTCTCTCTTCTATCTCTTGTATTCTATTGGTGATGCTTGCATCTGTAATTCCAGACCGTTTACCGAGCTTTTCTATTTCCAGCATCCCTTCATTCTGTGTTTTCTTTATCGTTTCTATTTCAGCTTTCAATCCTTCAACTGTTTGAGCTGTTTCCTTAATTTTCTTGGTTGTTTTTTCTTGGTGCTCTTTAGATTCTTTGAGAGATTTGTTTATTTCTTGAATTTTTTCCCCCATTTCATGGATTTTTTTGTTTGTTTTTTCTTCTATTTCTTTAAGGGATTTCCTCGTTTCTTCTTTGAGGCTCTCCATCATCTTCATGAAATAATTTTTAAGGTCTGTCTCCTCTTCTTCATCTATGTAGTGCTTTTCAGGTCTTGCTGGTGTTGGATCCCTGGATTCTGGTGGGGTCGTGTTGGTGTTTCTATTGCTGAGTGATCTCTTATTCTGTCTTCTTCCCATCTCTTCTTCCAGTGGGTGCTGGTGGGGGCTTTCTGTCTCCACTGGTCTCCTTCCTTACTGCAGCTGAAGCTGAAGCTGGCCTCACTGGGGTTGGGGTCTTGGAGGGGCTGATCTCTTTCCTGTGTGGGCAGCTCTTCTGGAAGCCGGGAGCGGCCCCGAAGATGGAGGGGGATGGGTGATGGGCAGGTGGTCCCAGCCGGAGACCCAATCTCACCTGAAGCTGGGCTCGCTGGGTTGGGGTCTTGGAGGGGACTCTGTGTGGGCGGCTCTTCTGGAAGCCGGGAGCGGCCCCGAAGATGGAGGGGATGGGTGATGGGCGGGTGGTCCCAGCCAGGGACCCAATCTCACCTGAAGCTGGGCTCGCTGGGTTGGGGTCTTGGAGGGGCTGATCTCTTTCCTGTGTGGGCGGCTCTTCTGGAAGCCGGGAGTGGCCCCGAAGATGGAGGGGGATGGGTGATGGGCGGGTGGTCCCAGCCAGAGACCCAATCTCACCTGAAGCTGGGCTCGCTGGGTTGGGGTCTTGGAGGGGCTCTGTGTGGGCGGCTCTTCTGGAAGCCGGGACCGGCCCCGAAGATGGAGGGGGATGGGTGATGGGCGGGTGGTCCCAGCCAGGGACCCAATCTCACCTGAAGCTGGGCTCGCTGGGTTGGGGTCTTGGAGGGGCTGATCTCTTTCCTGTGTGGGCGGCTCTTCTGGAAGCCGGGAGCGGCCCCGAAGATGGAGGGGGATGGGTGATGGGCGGGTGGTCCCAGCCAGAGACCCAATCTCACCTGAAGCTGGGCTTGCTGGGTTGGGGTCTTGGAGGGGCCTGTGTGGGCGGCTCTTCTGGAAGCCGGGAGGGGCCCCGAAGATGGAGGGGGATGGGTGATGGGCGGGTGGTCCCAGCCAGAGACCCAATCTCACCTGAAGCTGGGCTCGCTGGGTTGGGGTCTTGGAGGGGCTGATCTCTTTCCTGTGTGGGCGGCTCTTCTGGAAGCCGGGCGGGCACTAACATTTCTTATTATGCTCATGGAACCAAGATTTTGAGTAAGGCAGAATCAAACAATAATGACCTGATGTCTTGAACAGAATATAGATCTCTTAGACAACGATAATGATCAATCATTCAGGACTACAGTGAACAAAAAGCAAGTGAATCATAAATACATGAAAATTCTGTGTGTTATAAAGAATAAGTGTAGAAGAGAGGTTGGAAGTTCCATGGAGATATCACCATTAAATAGAAAGCTCTTCCTCTACATTGAATGCGTACCTAATTAAGAAAAGGGGGAACTGTCCATATTTCTATGCCCTAGGTAGACTAACATTTGATTCCTAGGTGAGGAAACAACTTTACACAAAACCTGCTGCAAATCTGGTACAAACAAAACTGGATCCATCACAATTTAGAAGCCAAATTTGTGGAATCTTTGATGTTGTACTGGTCCTGGAAACAGGAAAATGTAAAATTTAAGGCCATGCATTTTTATCTGTTGTTTGAGGTCACTTGAAGGTATGTGTGTTTTGTAGAGTCAGAGTTCCAGTGAGGTCACTGTGGGAGTTTATTTGATGATGCTGTGAGGAAAATGCCTGGATTGTATTTTGAAATTATAGATGCTGAGAGATTTACACCATTATACATCTTCTATGGAGAGCTGCATTTGTGAAGTGGAAGTAAGCAAAGAGAAAAATGTTTAGAAAGTTGTGGGGAGAGATCCTTCTATTACCTTTGAAAATCAATTCCCATGTGTCTTACACAGAGCTGTTGGATTTGATGGTTGCCCTGCTGGGTGTAGTTTTGCCTTTGTCCATTATTCATTTACTATTCTTCAACTTCTCTGCTTTGCAATGGAAATGGATATTCTGTGTCATTGTTTATTGGAAATTTGTAACTTATCATTCTGATTGTGCAGGATGAGACAATCATGAGATTGTCTTGAGGGTCAAAAAAGGCTGTAAATTTTTTTGAACACTGTAGATCCTTTTGCTCAGTAGGATGATCATTGAGGTGAAAAAATGATTTCTTCATAGATGACCCTTTGCCTTTAGTAACCAAGGTCGGCATCTATTTGACTAAATCCAAAACTCCCTGATAGGATGATGAATTTGAACATGTGTCTCTACTTGGTAGCTATTTTGGGGTTTTTAGGAACCTTTAATAGGAGGAAATTTTCTGGATGATATTCCTATTTGGTGATGGGATTTGTGTGTCTACGACCTCACCCAATTTTCTGGTTTTTTTAAAAAATTTATTCTATTATGTTGTGGTTGACTCTAGTCAGTTATATTCCTTTTTGTGATATTTTGACTTCATCACCATGAGAGATAGTATGAGAATATCACATTAGATACAATTGCATCCATTGTTAATAAATGCTAAGTCATGTTGCTAGCCTTTTTTTAAATTTTGTTTGGTTGTATTTTTACTTATGAAGTCAAGAATTGTCTGAAGAGCGCTAACTGTCATAAAAATTTCTCTATAGACAAGCTGGCCTTGAACTGAGAGATTCATGTGATGTTTGCTCCCAAATGTTGACAATAGTGATGGGCCAATGTTTTGGGGGTGTTTTAAGCTTTTTATTGGATGATGGGTTTTATGTGTAAGTTTTTCTACATGTCAAGTATATATAATTTTTCTGAGATTCACCTCCAGCTTGATTTTTGAAATTTGGCAGATGATATCCTTCTCCTTCCCAGCATGTCAACATATATGAAATTAATACTGCCTGAGCATTCTGAGTCATTGGATTATAGCTGTGTGTGACATTCTTCCTACATGTGGTTTTTATTTGTATCATTTAAATGTATATGATTATTTGTCTGCATATAGTGATATGCTCAATATGTGTGCTTGGTCTTCACAGTAGTCAAAAGATGATCTTAGATCCCATGGGCTTGGCATAATGTATGGGGATGTATAGCTGTTGTCCCCAGTATAAGTTATGGCATTTGAGCTCACCTATATCCCAGTGCATAAAGAGATCTTAACTTCTGAGCATCCCTCCTGCTGTGTGTTGATCAACATGTACATTGCTAGTGCTTTCATTTGTCTATGTGTAAATGCTTAAATGCATACTTACCTTTAATGAGGTTAACTAAATTACAATTATAATTGGAGCATGTCAGATTTCATGAAGATGAATACAGAACAGGTTTGAATGTATAACTTCTTATAGTTACTTCAGAAAAAAAATACACCTCGCAATTCTTCCTATCTCTATTAATTATTTCATTGTTTTTTGTATGGAAGACAGGTTCTTAATATTTACCACTTGCTGTCCAGTAACTGATTCTGCAGTCTAAGTGAGCATTTACCTGATAGACAGTTATACCTATCTATTTCCTTCTGAGTGTTGGGACTAAAGGCCTGAGTCAATATATCTTGCTTCCTCAATAAAATTTCTATGATGTAGAATCGGTCTGTTGATCTGTGTGCATTTCTGTCTGTGTCTGTTAATAGGCATTTCTCTTGCAAGATAATATGCCATTCATAAATGATAGAGGTAAAACCCCATAAGACTCCTTCAAGACTGACTTAAATATAATATCTGTGTCATAGATTAAGTATGGGAAGGTGAATCATTTTATGAGTATACGGTCAAAGAAGTATACATTTACAATGCTGTATTTATAATAAATATGTCATATTTTTAGGATGCAGTAACATATCAAGATTTGGATATCACCTTTACTCAGGAAGAGTGGGCTTTGCTAGATTCTTCACAGAAAAATCTCTACAAAGATGTGATGCTGGAGACGTATATGAACTTCAATGCAATAGGTAGTTCTTTGGATTTCTTTCATATTTTATAATAAGGGGACAACTGTTTCTTAATTATTGATGCTCTTTTGTAATTTTGAGTGAGAATGAAGAAGACTTAGGAAATAAGTCAGTCATGTTTCTAAGTATCACTGAAGACAGTCAGTTAAATTTTAAGTAATTTTCAATAATAAATTATACTTTTCCTGATGCTATATTTTAGGCTACAAATGGGAAGATATTGATATCGAAGAACATTGTCAAAGTCCTCAAAGTCATGGAAGGTAATTTTCATGTGTATGCTGATATAAATTTGCCTATGAAGATAATTTAATGTATACAGATGTTACAAAGAAAACCAGCAGTGTAAATAATAACATAATGTGCATTGATTTTCAATAAATTGTCATGAGATCATATACCTCAAAGGCTGGTAAGGGAATTTTGTTTTCAAGTCCTTTATAAGGAAGGAAGACAAGATATAAATGCCTTCACACCATTTGAGTCATAGATCAATGAGAGTTAAGCTGATGAGAATTGCTAATCAATGTAGCCTCATACCACTCATATTACATAAGGTATACATATTGGAAAGTAATAAGTCTATATCCAACACAGTGTCGTCAGCAAATATTACATAGTGAGCTAGTATTACTCATATATATGTTCTGATTTTGTTAAGTACAGTGTGATTAGACAGAAACATGATTTTAGTGGGGATGGTTATGTAAAGCCTTAATCCCTGTACCTTATATTTATGAGGAACAAGAAGAAAACATGGGTGACTGCAGTGTGGAAAGCTTTTACTTTCTAATCTTCCTTTAATAGGTATGTCCTATGTCACAAAGAATAAAAACCATTTGAACATAGGGACATGGAAAGGGTAATGCACTTCTATCCATCTCAGAACAGTTAGAAGATATGTAGTAGTCTGCATGTTGAGTACAATCGTTGAACATGATGCAAGTTTACAAGTGCTTGGTTTTCCTGCTTCATTGGGAATACATCAACATTTTTATACTGCCAAAAAACCCATGTGTACATGCAATGAGTGAATATTTCTTCTAGTCAAGGTTCATTTTGTAGAAATAGGTTGAGTCACAGTAGAAAAAATTATCAATGCATAAAGTGGGTGAAAGTATGAATACTTTTAGTTATCTTCTATTATGAGAAAAGTCTCATAGAGAAAAGGAAGCCATAAATTTGAACAAGGCAATAAAAGTACTTAGCATGAAAGGCATCAAGAAATATGTAAAGCAGTCCTGAGTGAAGGGTAACACCATGAATATAAACAAAGTGTAATAAGCTTAATATCAGGTTAGGCTTTTAAATTTGACCAAATTGCTAAATTAATTCATAATTATATATATTCAGCAGTATATTTAATTTTTAAATCTTGATTTCATTTTACATTCCAATGACAGTTCTCTCTCCCACCCCTCCTCTTGCCCCCTTGCCTCTTTCCACCTCTTTGCTCATCACAGTGCTTTTCAAGTGCATAAAAGAACACATATTGGAGAGAAACCCTATGAATGTCCTGAGTGTGGTAAAGCCTTTCCTCAGCACAGTAATCTTCAAATACATAAAAGAACACATACTGGAGAGAAACCCTATGAATGCATTCAGTGTGGTAAAGCGTTTGCTCATTACAGTTCTATTAAAGTGCATAAAAGAACACATACTGGAGAAAAACCCTATGAATGTCATCAGTGTGGTAAAGCCTTTGCTCTGCAAAGTCATCTTCAAATACATGTAAGAACACATACTGGAGAGAAACCCTATGAATGCAATCAGTGTGGTAAAGTCTTTGCTCAGCACAGTCATCTTCAAATACATGTAAGAACACATAATGGAGAAAAACCTTATGAATGTCCTCAGTGTGATAAAGCCTTTGCTCAGCACAGTAGTCTTCAAATACATAAAAGGACACATACTGGAGAGAAACCCTATGAATGCAATCAGTGTGGTAAAGCCTTCGCTCATCACAGTTCTATTCAAGTGCATAAAAGAACACATACTGGAGAGAAACCCTATGAATGTCATCAGTGTGGTAAAGCCTTTGCTCTGCAAAGTCAACTTCAAATGCATAAAAGAACACATACTGGAGAGAAACCCTATGAATGCAATCAGTGTGGTAAAGCCTTTGCTCTGCAAAGTCAACTTAAAAGGCATAAAAGAACACATACTGGAGAGAAAACTTATGAATGCAATCAGTGTGGAAAAGTCTTTGCTCAGAAAAGTCATCTTCAAGGGCATGTAAGAACACATACTGGAATGAAACCCTATGCATGTAATCAGTGTGGTAAAGCCTTTGCTCAGAACAATAATCTTCAAATACATAAAAGAACACATACTGGAGAGAAACCCTATGACTGTAATAAGTGTGGTAAAGCCTTTGCTCAGAACAGTAATCTTCAAAGGCATAAAAGAACACATACTGGAGTGAAACCCTACGAATGTAATCAATGTGGTTAAGCTTTTGCTCAGCACAGTTATCTTCAAATGCATAAAATAACACATAGTGGATGGAACCCCTATTAATGTCATCAGTGTGGTAATGCCTTTGCTCGGCAATGTATTCTTCAAGTGCATAAAAGAACACATACTGGAGTGAAATCCTATGAATGAAATAATTGTGGTAAAGCCTTCACATGTCACAGAAATCTTAAAATACATAAAACCCCACATACTGGAGAAAATCCCTATTGATGGATGAATTCTGTTTTTTCTTAATTATAAAATTCCAGAGTCAGATATTAGACTGAATTCTGAAAGATCCAAAGATCATTTAAATCAATTGCGAGATCTTTCCTATACAAAATCCTCAGAACAAATGGGGTATGCTCTCTCCTATGATCCTCACAATGCATGCCAACTTTATGAAACCTCAGACTGATTCCTGAATTTCTGTCTCTTCTCTCCATACATTCTTAGCATCTCCACTTTCCAATGCTTGGATTAAGTTGGGGTATCACCACTTGGCTGATTCTCTTTTAGATTTATTATTGTGAATCACAGGATTGCCTTGAACTCACAGACCACATTTGCCTGTGTCTCCCAAGTACTGGGATTAAAGTACCACAAGTGCCTTTCCTGTATGTGTAACTTGAATGACTAGCTCTCATCTTGAGCCAAACTTTCTTCCTTAAAGAAAAACAAAATATCACCAAACACTTTGAATGTAGTAAGTGTGTTAAAGCCTTTGCAAATCCTTGTCATCTCAAAACACATAAAATAACACATACTGGACAGATAACATATGAATATAGTCAATGTGTAAAGCAATTGTATGTATCAAAATCATGGGAAGAAATGACACTGCAATGAAACCTTATAAATATTGACAGTGTGCTAAAGTTTTTTTTTTTGGTTTTTCGAGACAAGTTTTCTCTGTATTGTTTTTTCTACCATGTCCTTGAAATTGCTCGGTACACCAGGCTTGTTTCTCACTCACAGAGATCTGCCTGCCTCTGCCTCCCAAGTGCTGGGATTAAAGGCATGCACCACCACCGCCCAGCTAAAGTTTTTTTTTTTTTGAGATGTAAAACTTGGTGTGCAATCATTCTGTTGATGCCTTTGTAAATTACAACAGTCTTGAATGTGAAAAAAGACAATTAGTCAATTTTTTATAAAAATTAATCTTTAGCCAACACACAACCTTGTTTATTCTGTAGAGGACAGTGACCAATACGATGGTCTGTAGAAGTAAGATGATGGCTGTTTGTATATTGTTTGTACCAGTAAACTCATGGGAAAATGAATTTATAAAACCCTGGGTTTAGGAGAAATGGACAACCAAGTTACACACTCAGTCCCTGAAACCAGAAGCAGTGAAATAGAAATACTTTGGCCCTTAAGCAAGAGACATAAAAATTCACCCTGACTTTGAATCCCTAGACAAAGAAACATACTTTTTCACTGAAACCAGAGCTAGTGAAAGAAATACTTCTTTTCTGAAATGACAGACAAAATATAAAAATAGACAGTGAGAGAAACAGACTGGGCTCTAAACCAGAGTCAAAAGAACACAATCAATCCTTCACCAATTGAGCATTAACCCAACAAATCCCTGAACTTAAAACCATCTAGTCCCTGAGCATAAAATACATACAGTGTCTGAGCTTGCTCAAGCTCAGGGAATAATGGATTTCAGTTGGCAGTTGCTGTCACATCAAATCCATTAGGCTCGGTGTTACATGTTTCACAGAGTGAGGTGATAACTTCAAAAGAAGGAGGTCGCTTGGAACCAGTTGTGAAATTCTTGGCTGGAGAAAAATACTTGGCTGTGGTTCATGTGGAAATTTTTCTTGTTCTTCTATTCCTTTTCCATATTAAGTATTCCTAAATATTAAATATTTAAACAAAGACATAGATGAGAAACCAAACCACTCTATTATCAATAAAATCAAAAGAATTAGGTTACACAGAAGGATGAGAGATGTCATTATAAGTTTGAGGAGAGATCTGGCACTGGTGAGATTTCCAGAGATCTGCAAGTTTGACACCAACTGGAAAACTAAGCAATAGTGAAGAGACTACCTTAGATGCTCCTCCCTAATAATGAGTTTCGTGACTGTCTTAAATGCCATCTTACAACCTTCAGCTAGTGACTGATGGAAGCAAAGGCAAACACCCAGAGCTAAACATTGAACTGAACTCCTGAAACCCAGTTGAAGAGAGGGAGGAATGGTGAGCAAAGAAGTCAAGACTGGCCTGGTGAAACCCATAAAGGCAGCTGGCCTGAACAAGTGGTAGCACTTGGACACCAAACTGATGGCTGAGAGTCCAGAATGGGACTGATCCATACCCTCTGAATGTGGGTGTCAGTGAGGAGGCCTAGGCAATCTGTGGGGCTTTGGGTAGTAGATCACTACGTATCGCTGGCATACAAACGGACTTTGGCTGCCCATTCTCCATTGAGGGATGGTCTCTCAGCATGGACACATGGAGGAGTGCCTAGTCCCTGCCCCGGATGAAATGACAAACTCTGGATATCCCCATCGAGGTCCTCACTCTCTATATCAACAGAGTGGGTATTGGGTGGGAGATTGGGAGGCTGGGGACTTGGGGGGAGGATGGTAGGCAGAGGGAGCTGGGACTGACATGAGAAAGCAACATTGTTTCTAGTTTAAAAAAATATAGATAAAGAAATATGTGGTTATCCTTGATCAAGGACAATTTTCTGTTTTTACTAACCCTGGATGATCATGTTTTTTATTTGCATTACTGTGCCAAGTAACAATTATGTCATCTGTTTTGGTTTGCTTCAAAAAACATTCTCTTATATTGAATTAAAAAATCTTGTTTGAGAAGTACAAAATAAACTCAGGTTTATTCTGCCTCTGTGTTTGTCACCACCAAGTCCTTATCCACCTATTTGGAGGACCCGCTTCCCATTGGACTATCATACCCAGCTGGGGATAGTCCATAGCAGCTGGTGCCCTCAATGTGTGGTTCGAAGTAGGTATGCTTTCTCTTCCCTTTTCTCTCTGTTTTCCTAGAAAGTACATTTGCCCTGGGGGATAGGACTTCTCTAGAGTCCTCCAGACTCTTTAATAGAGAGAAGACATTGAGATAAAATGGTGGGAAAGTAAGAATCAGGGGTAATTTGTAGTCCAAGGACAGAAACATATTTGTGGAACATATTTGAAAGAAGAGGTGGTAAAACCTCAATGATGACTTCTGCAGCATTGTAGGATTTTGTATTGAATGTCCTTCTGTGGTTCTCAGAGGAAGAAAGCCTGTCTTTAGAAGGGTAGAAAAAAGCATGTCAAGAGATTAGGAAATTTTATGAATTCCATGACCCTAATCAGAATCCAGCTCATGTATTTTCATTATGGGCACCAATTAGAGACCTCCTTTCAGAAAAATCAAAAATACTTTGCAGAAGAATTACCCACAGAAGATGACATAATTGCTCTGATGTCAGAAACTAAGTTAAATAATGCTTCTTCACCTATTGCTACTCTCCTCAATGCACAGCCAGGTGATGACTGAAGGAATGATGAGCAACAAAAGAACTTGATTTTTTATAATAAAAGTACATCTATGACAAAGATAGATGATATTTTTTGCCTCAGGTCTGCTCCTACTCCTGCTTTTAAAACAAAGTCTGTCAATCTTGAAGTGAAGATGCCAATATGGCATTTAAGAAGTATAAAAGAAGCCAGGGAAAAAGGTAACTTAGATATTTGTTTCCCAGTAACCATTGTTGAAGGAGGGACACCCCAATGGAAACTTCTTTCTTTAAAGACTCTTAAAGTACTGCAGTGCTCTGTTAAGATCTTTGTGCCAAGTGCTCCATACATTTTACAGATTGTGGAAATGTTGGATTACTGGTGGTTACTCCTTATTATTGGCACCAGGACATTTTATAATATGGAGAACTGAAAACGAGGGAAAAGCAAGGGAAATGATACAGAATTTAATCTTCAAGAAAAACAACTTTGTCAGTGCTCTTCCAGAAGGAGACTGTTCCTTTCCCCAGGAACAAGTTAAATTAAAAGGGGAAATATTGGAAGACCTGTCCCAAATAGCAATAGCTGCTTGGAGAAGTCTCTCTCCTGATGATAGTAAAACAAATATGTTAGCAGGAATTAGACAAAAAGAAGAAGAATCATATGAAGATTTTATTCCTAGACTGGAAGATTCAACAGGCAGGATGCTGCTTTCCACTAAGGGCTTGGATATTTTATTAAAACAACTTGCATTGGAAAATGACAATACTCTCTGTCAGAAACTAAATTAGACCAAGCATAAAAACAAGAACTGTGTAGGATTACATCAAAGCATGAATAGATGACTCACCAGCAGAGGTCCAGTACATGGCCTATGCTGCATCAACGCAAGGGCAACATTTTCTTCCCATTATCAGAACTTAATGGCAGGAAAAAAGTAAAACCTCATGTTTTTCTTGCTAACAACAAGAACATGTGAGTCATGACTGTAAAAGAGAAGAAAAAACTCCAAAGATAAGAAAAATAAACCTCTGGAACTGTGTCCTCAATGTAAGAAGCGATAGCATTGGAGAGATGAATGTAAATTGAAACTGCATGAGAATGAAAACTCTCTGAAATATAAGGAGACCAAAAAATGAATGACAGTCATTCTTTGTACCCAAAAATTTTAAAAATGTACAAAGTAGGGAGACAGAGGAAAGTAAAGGTGAATTGAATCCTCTGGCCCCAAATTTTACATCTTAATGTTACTCAGAGCAACCATAGGAAGTGCAGTATTAGATCTTTCAGTAGACAAAAATTATTTACTTTGTGTTTTTGAGGGAGTACAATTAGAAAATACAGGGCTTAAGGGGCCTCTATCACCTGGTTCCTTTGGTGTTAGAATAGGGAGAAGTTCAAATGATAAGAAAAATGTTGAAGTAGTTCCTGGAGTCATTCAGATTTCCCTACATAAGCAAACTCATGATTAGGAAAATAAAAGAATACAACTACATAACTAATGGGTAGCTCAGATTATATTACTTCCTTATATACAGCACCCCAATACAATATAAAACTGATGAGAGGGGATGAAGGGTTTATGTCCCCTGAAGTAGTACCATAAATTCAGGAAATTCCCAGGAAAGACCCCTAAACCTGATAATGTAGAAGGAAAATTATACAAGGAGTATTCACCACAGTAGCAGACATGTTTTGAATTGCAGGAAGAAACATGGCCTATTCTTGTAAATATCACTTCTACTCTGTTAGGATTTTGGCTATCGTCCAATGTAGCTCAAAGCTCAAAAATCCTGACATAGAAATGTAAAGAAAATGTAGGTCCATTTTTTTGGGGGGGGTGTTGATAGAATTTCTGTGTATTGTTTCCTTGTCTTTTTTCTTAATATAATTCCTTGCAAATGCAGTTCACCTACTTTAATTTGAGGAATATGGGTATGTTAGAATTTACTAAATACCAATGTACTTTAAGCTGTCCTTTTTTACACTGTTGGTTTTGTTTCAAAAATTACAAGACACATTACATTTTCTTCAGAGGCACCATTCTCTCAGCTCATACATGAAAGTTACCTTTCATGTTTTTTAGAACTTGCAGAATATTCTTCAATAGTATGGTCTTCCCAACTGTATCCTAAAATATAGTATCAATAAATGCTTATTATATCATTGAAAAAAAGTTTAAGATTTAAGTTACTCTCTTCAAAGAACCTTAGATCATTTACTGATTTAAGTAATACATTCTTTTTCTCTCTCAATCAAATTAAAGAAGAGCATCAAAAACCAAGGAACAGCTGTCCTATTATTTTAAAATATGAAGGAAAATACACTCTTACCTATGTCTGTGAGTTTCTTGTACATCTCCAGCTTCGCATCATTGTAGAGATTCTTATGAGACCTATCCAGCAAAGTCCACTGTTCCCCAGTAACGTTGATATGCACATCATCATAGGTGACTGCATTTATAAATGTCATATATATATATGTGCAACTAAAAGCATAAAACTGACAATATTGTAAATGTATATTTCTGTACAGTATTATTCTAGGATGTGTTATTTTATGCTATGGAACATTTGTTTAAACATATATATGTTGTTTTTGTTTATGCTGTAGTTTATCTTGTGAAGCTGTATTTTCTGCCTGTTTATAACACCTGTTCTGATATAGCGGTGAATATCCACTAGTGAGGCAGGAGAAAGGATAGATTGTGGTAGCAGGAAGCATGTATACAGAGTAGGATAAATCTGGGAACAAGTATGATGGAGCATGAGAAGAAGAGGAGGATTCTATGGGCCAGCTACACAGCCCGATAACAACTCATGGAGTAAGAGGAAAGTAGGATATACATAAATGGAGAAAGGTAAAAGTCCAGATGCAAAAGGTAGATGGCATCATTTAAGTTAAGAATAATTGTTTAGAACTAAGACAAGCAAAGGCTAGGAAATCATATGTAATTGCAGGCCTCTTCCTTTCAATTTGTGACCTGGGTTGTACCTTCTCCAAAATGTAAAATGCTAAACAGCTAAGGGAGTAAAAGTTTAAGCAAAACTTTGATGCCCAACATGGGGCAATATTTCCATGTACGGCCTGAGAAAGCTTAAAATAATTTCATCTCTTGAAAGAGTTTCTGCCTACTGGTGAGACCTTGGAGAGCCAGCACAATAAGTAGTCATGAAAACCTCAGTTAAAGTGACTGCCGTAACACAATCATGATATGCTAGAGGTCTAGGAAGGCTTCATGTAGTACTTGGTGACCCACTTCTGATGGTGTTGTGAGTTTTAGACTTCCCTCTTAGGAATATAGAAATAAGCATAGCCAGCCTGGAGAACATGCAGAAGATCCATGTGTATTTTAGCTTTGGCAAGTAAAACATTCTAATATTATTTGATGTACCCTACCAAGCTTGGATAAATTTTTCTATTTTTTTATAATGTTGCTCCTGAGACGAGGAATTACTTTGTGTATATATTCCATAAGTTAATGGGTTAGCTGGATAGAGACTTACAATTGGGTGACCATCCCAGGCTTCAAGTGCCAAGGAGGACCTTTTTTTAATGGTGTTAAAACCTTGAATATTGCTGTCTCTTTTCCATCACTGGACTGACATCTGAAACTACCTAATGCTCTTTTTCTTAACAAAACCGAGACTTTTCATTCCTTCCTATTTGTGTCCCTTTCACTGTAGACCTGAAGGAGGCAACGGTAATAACCATCCAACAGAAGCAATATTTTGTCTAGGACATCAGCCCATTACTGTGAAATTCAGCCTTAT